CGACTTCATCTCTTTATTTTCAACAATCATTCCATATGATATATTTTATGTTTCAGCGAATAATTAACTTTCATTATTATATTATGTCTGTAAATCTTCTCCATCAATATTATCATTGCTAGGAAATCCAAGAATTTCTTTTTATTGTAAAAATTCTTTTTTTTTTTGAAAAAAAAAATGAATTTGAAAATTTCGAAAATGAAATGGCTTATTTTAGCGTATCTTATTTTAGTATATGTATTGTATTTTAGCATATCAAAAAGGAGGGTTATTTTTTTTTCTTTTTGACCAAATTATGATATCTAAAGTAAAATCAAAATGATGATGAAAGCTAAAAAGAAGTGTGACGTATAAGATCAAAAAGTTTCGTATGAATTCAGTTTAAAACTAAAATTTTAGCAATATTTTTTCATTGTGCATATTAAAAATCAGTTAGTTATTGAAGTGAAATTTTATAACAATCGGAATTCACATGTGAAAATCAAATAAATCGCGCAAATTTGATTACATCCAAACTTCAATCCCATTTTGTTGCTTACTAATATTAGTTAAAATGTTACCTGCTTAAAAGCCTTTTTTTTCTTTTTTTTAATTTGGCAAAATCGAGTAATATTGAAAGTGCAGTCAAATGTGCTGGATGCAAATTGATAAATGCGATAAGTGGAATGTAGTAGTTATGATTATGTTGAAATGAGATGCGATTCAGTATCTGAAGCTTATATGAGTTGAAGAATTTAGCTATGAGAATTTTAGAAAAATACTAGGTTTGAAAATATAAACGTAACGAAATTAATAAATATTAAATTTCCATATGGAATCGACCAAATGACATTGATTTTTCCTCATTTGTTAAATTTAACTTTAGGTTACAATTTTTAAAGATTTTATTAATTCACATTTAACAACACTAATGTCTTTTCTTTCAGCCATTTCACAATTAGTTCAATTATTATTTTGTTAAAAAATTAGAAAACCAATTCAAAACTCTTTCTTGTAACATTTTTAGAGAAAATAATACTCTAAATTATACCTTGAATTTGTAACATTTTACTTGTAGTATCATTTCACCTGCTATTAAGTTCATTGTAAGAATGTTTGTAATGCTAGCAACATTTTTGATTTAAAACAGCTTATATTTGATTATCCGCTTGGCTTAATCAAAATATTAGAACAGTCCAACTATCCCATACAAAAAAAAATATTTATCTTTTTATGCAAATTGTTAATGTTCCATAAATTTCTTAAAGAATTTCGAGGGTGATTTTCCATTTTTCTTTTCCGAAAGAAGCAAAGTAGTACTATTGTTTATATTAAATTAAAGCTTAAATTGCCGAATTTTTTGAAGCTTTATCGACTTATTTTTGTTTTAGGAACTTAATTGAAATTTTTTTTTAAGCTTCTTTTTCATCTTTATTTATGCACTTTTTTTTTTTTAAATAAACAGACCAATGATTGATTTGTTAGCAGTTGAAGTTTCTTTTTTTTTTTTTTTTAGAGGAAGACTAAATTAGGCACATTGAATGATTCCACGATAAATTAAATTTTCTTCCCTAATGGCAAAAATAAATCAACGATCTCTCTTAATGATTAAATTTTAAGGAATTTTCATAACTTAATATTTATTTAGAATGAATTTATTTCGGAATATCGTTTTTTTTTCCTTTAATATGACTCAAAAAATTGCAGTGAAAAATGAAAGAATGATGAATAAATGTCCCCATTTTAAGATCTTTTTTTCCCTATTTATTTGTTTAAATTTAAATGGTCACTGTTATTTAAATGGTTGATAACCACTTAAATTACAGGGGGAAAAGTTACTTTTTTGATTTAAATTTGATGTAATATCTCGAAAAACTTTCACGAAAGTCTGTATTTTCCTAAAAAAAAAAAGTCTGAGAAATAAGAGGAGCTATTATCCACTAATTAAAAGTTCATTATTCCTATCATATTTTGATATTTCTAAATCAAAAGTTATGCTTATCAAATCTGTAATCTTATCTAATTACTTTCTTCATTCACTCCCTTATCTTTCTTTCTTTCTTTTTATTTTAAATGCATTTACATAAATGTATGGATGTATGTAATAGATTAGTGATAAAAAATTTTATTTCAATAGATATGAATTGTTTAAAAATTTCTGCTTCCTTCCCTGCTCCTAAAATTTCACCTTTTTTTTCCTTTTCTTTTTTCCTTTTTTCTTTTTTGTTATAGCTCGAAAAAAAAGTTTAGATGGGTATAAGATGATTTATAAATAAGTTTCCATTACAGGTTGGCAACTATTTATTTTGAGATAATTATCTTTGAAAGGGAAAGCAGAGAAAGAAAAATGTAGGCAGTAACCAAGGATAATTTATGTAAGTTTCCAACCAAAAGTATATTGTTATTATTATTAACAATTTTGAACTTGAAATGTTGATGTACTTTTTTTCCACTTCTTTTTTTTTCAATAAATTTTATTCCAAATTTCTTTTTAAATATTTCATATTTTCTTTCTATCAATAATATATTTTAGTTTTGCAATATACTAAAAGGATCTAAATTAAGAAAAGGAAATTTGATTGATTTAAATTACGAAAGCTGATAAATTGAAAGCCTAACTAAAAATGATAGGAAGAGGAAATGAAAGATGGGCGAAGGTTCGAAATGGACAAATAGATCTCATTTGAATGAATACTTATATTTCACATCGTATTGAAATTAGCTGAATATCTCGAAGATAATGCATTAGTTTGTCACAGTTGTGATATCAATGAACATCTATTTATTCCACTTATGGTGAATTTTTCTTTTTATCGATAAATATTCCAATGTATACCATGACCAAACGTTTTTTTTTTTCTCAGTTTTTTGCATCAATTTTTCTCAATTTATTTGCAGAAATTTTTCATTTTAAAATTACAGCAGTTATAAGATAGAAAATTTTCATTGATTAAGAATGATTAAATTATTTATTATCGAATTGTAAATAACGGATCGATTAATGATTAATTCATTAATTATTGCAACATTCAGTTGTTTGAATAAAATTTTGTAAATTTTAGCTAAATATTACTTCCATTAAATGTTATATAATTTGAACTTTTTAGAAATTAATTTTATTGCAGAGTGCAGCACTGTTTCCAAACCATTCACTTGATTTAATAATTGCTTTATAATTATTAGTGGATGTTCAGTGTTCTTCTGTCACTAGCAAAAGGAAAAGCTCAACACTCGCCAATTCGTGCAAGTAAGCTATCTTAATTTAATTAGACATTAAAATTTTTTGCAAAATTAACATAATATTACAGTGTTGTGAATTAAAATGCGTGACAGGACGTTATGGAAATTCTTGGATCTTTTAAAAAGTGGACAACAAACGAAGTTTTTCAGTTTTAAAAACATTTTGACCGTCATGAAAGCTAATTGATATAATTGTCATGATAATGATAAGGTGACAATGATTTAAAATGTACCGATGCATCGCATATGTCCTGAGCATTTTAGGTAAGTCCAGGATGATATACGCGCTTTGAATTGAACAGATCAGATGTCGAAATTTGATAACTTTCTTTCAGGATGGTTATTGTAAAAGTTACGCTTCAATTCAGCCTGTAATATTATCAACAATAGATAAAATGTTGACCATAATGGCTGAAAAATCCTAGTTACTAGAATATTTTGAGATGGTTATACTTTGACCTTTCTCCTTGATGCAACATTTTTTGTCCTCAAACTTCTTTCAAGAAATCAAGATATGATACTTATTAATCGTTTAAATTATCATCAAAAATTTTAGGCCCACAACGAAAAAATTTGCTTAATACAGTTTACAAACAGCACTGCACGAAACAGCGAGTTAATGAATCGTATCGAAAATTGAAAAATGCGTTTAAAAAGTTACATGACGATTATTTGCATTTAAAGGGACGAAATATTTTCAGCAAATACATTCAAATGCAGCAAATGATTTGTGAGGTATTTCCTTGGTTATTATTTCATTTTCATCAAAATCATGCTTACCTCTTTCTGTCCGATAGATTTTACCAAAATTATTTATTGCAGTAGAACCGGAATTTGAAATCGTTATTATAGATACATAGCACATTTTAGTATCACTTTTCATCTTAGCTATAAAAAATGCTTTAATTTGGTTTGAATTTCAATGTAAGTTTGGGATCCCTTGTAAAATCAAATCATATATATATATATATATATATATATATATATATATATATATATATATATAT